AGCAGGAAGGAAGCAAGGTTTTCAGCGGGCATAAACAGGTTATGGTGTACGACAGTCTGGTGCATTCACCAGGAAAAGGGAAAGTGGCTGATCCTGTGGACAGGCCACGGGAGGTTTCAGCATCTGGGTTCAGTTAAGTAAAGGGTTGGTGGTGCTCAAAAAGTCACTTCTGACTAGTTTCCTAAATGCTCCTGGAAGATGTTCTTGGGGCAGCGTGTGAAAAGGCCCAGGTGAGCCTGCCGCGACAGGCGGCGGTGTCAGTCGTTTTGTGCTTGGCGGGGAGAACGCACGGGGGGTACCGTTGGCCATTCTTACAGTCCTCCTTTCTCTCTGAGCGAGTGATCCTTCCCGGCTGGCAGTGTAAGAAAGAGGGGACTGTCGGGTACCCCAACCGCTTTGCGGCCGCCCGAGGACTCGGAGCACACAGAGAGACTTCACAGCAGCCCACAGCGGAAGGATTGCCACGTGCCCCCGATGGGTTTGGTACCCATGTGAGAGCCCCGGCATCAGCACCGTGATTTTCTAAAGAGCTGATGATGATTGATTTTTCTTTTGCATCACCTCAGTGACCCTTTCTTGACCTCGTCCTTTCCGGATGAGGCTTGGAGCAACCTGGTCTAGTGGAAGGTGTCCCTGCCCATGGCAGGGGGGTTGGAACTAGATGGTCTTTAAGGTCCCTTCCAACCCCAACCATTCTGTGATTCCATGATTCTATGATTTTTGCTCTCCCTCACTACCGCAAGGCAGCGTTCTGGCCCCTCTGCAGAAGTCTGGCTCCTCTGGCCTCAGTGATACCCAGCGCCCGTGGGCTGGTGACCCACTGCGATTCCCCTCTTCTCAGCAGAAATCCAGGGAAGTTGTTGTTTGGGCAGCCTCTGGGACAGATCTGCTGCTGTCCAGACAGATACCTCCGTGAGAGAACACAGCGCTGCGACCTGGGCATGGGCCTTCATTGCGGGCAGAGTCTGGATCGGAGAGGGCATGGCTGCCTGGGATTCGGGGCCATCCAGTGCTCCCCTTCTCTGTTAAAATCAACAGGTGCTGGAGGGAAGGAGAAATGTGATGCTGTGGAGGGTTAGTCTACCGGAAGCGTAACAAAAATCAGCATCATTCCTGCAAGAGTAAAGAATTAAATTCGGGCCGCTGCTGGATAGCGGGTGAATCAATCCAGCATCCTTCGAGTCCCTGCTCGGGGCCGGACGCCGGGGCAGAACAGCCTGTGCTGTCAGCTCTCTGCCAAACCCTCCCTCCTCGGGTAAGTTACGGGGATGGTTCTGGAGGCGGGAGGGTTCTGCCCTCTCCTCGAGCATGTTCGGACCCGAAAACGCACAGGGGAAACTTCCGATCTCGTTACAATTTCTGTGGGTTCCCGCGGCAAGAAAGTATCCCCCCAGTATCAGCGAGGAAATGAAAACAGGAGCCTGGTTTTGCCATTGAACAGTTCTTTTTCTTTTTTTTAATAAAGTCCTTATAAATATGTACAAAGAGTCTCAGCATACGAAATTCCTTTTACAAAAGAGAAGCCACATCCAGCCACAGAGAGGAGCCGTGGTGAGCACCTGCGCTGCTCTCGCTCGGCTGAGGGCGGAACTCGCCCCAGAGTTCACCCCCCAGCAGTGCTGCGCCAGGAGTTGTGCGTTCCCTGCAGCCCAGCGGTGCGTTCCGGAGCAATGCATCCGGGAGCAGACTGGGAACTCTGCCAGTGTCCTGCGGGCTGAAGGTGATTTTCCGGTGAGGAACCGCGGCCTTCGCATTGCCTGGGAAGGTAACGTGGTGAGCGCGCGCGGAACGGGATCCCACTGCAGGTGGTTCTGCCCTCTGCCGAGGTGGCATCTCTAAGTGACAGGGGATGTGGGTGGGGAGGCACTGGGACAGGTTGCCCAGAGAAGCTGTGGATGCCCCATCCCTGGAAGTGTCCAAGGCCAGGCTGGATGAGGCTTGGAGCAACCTGGTCTAGTGGAAGGTGTCCCTGCCCATGGCAGGGGGTTGGACTGGGTGGTCTTTAAGGTCCCTTCCAACCCAAACCGTTCTGTGATGTAACCGGTTACGGCAGTTCAATTCCCAGATGCTTTCGGTGAGTATTTGTCAAGTTCCAAAGTCACCTTCTGTAACCATTAAAAACCTTGTGACATTCAAGTACTCAAGTATTCCTGCAGAGCGGACGCCGGAGGCGTCTGATCCGAGCTACAGGCAAATTCACTCTTGTGTTCCAATAAATGTTGTCAGAAAAAATATGCACCTGTTCCGTATTTTGCAGGTTTGAGTGTCTCTTGGATGGGGAACGGAAGTTCTGCAGCTTCAGCCTCTTCCCCCAGCGGCAGGGGCAGAGCTGGTGGTTGCAGACCACGCGTGGGAGTGCGGCCGGGGTCTGCGCTGCTGGAGAGTCCCGTTGGGCAGGCAG